TTTATTTCTGCATTTCTGGGGCAAGTGAGGGACGCAGTGGCATTAGGCGGGCCAGAAAATACAGAATCGGCGTTCACCCGGTGGAAAAATTCGATTTTGGCGAAAGTCGACTTTCCCCCTGAAAAAAGCCCAAATGCGGCCATTGGCTCTGGGTGAAAAAAAAAATTTTTTTATTTCTGCATTTCTGGAGCAAGTGAGGGGCGCAGTGGCATTAGGCGGGCCAGAAAATACAGAATCAACGTTCACTCGGCGGAAAAATTCCATTTTGGCGAAAGTCGACTTTCTCCTGAAAAATCCAAGATGACACTTTGGCCCCAGATAAAAAGAAAAAAAAATGTATTTCGACATTTCTGTGGCCTCCGAGTGTTTCATTAGCATCAGAAACGTTAATCGATATAAAAATTAAGGAATGTAATCGAAACTAACTTTCATTTTTGAAGCCTTGCAGAGGCTTGAATAAGCCTTGACGTACTGAGCCTCAATACTCAAAGCCTGGACTAGGTCTGAATTGAACCTCGGCAAATCAAGCCCGTCCCAGGCCTGAGTGACTGACCCTCGCCAAACCTAGGCTCGCACAGGATTGTTTCCATCGTCAGCCTACATAATTCCTACCTGGGTTTCCGCACTGATGTTTCAGTATAAACAAGTAATAATCAGGCTTTGCTATTTGGTGGAACAAAACATTTATTCTTCATTAACCGCTGCACGTGCAATTTTTCACCTCTTGTGTTCTCCATTCCGCTGATAATCACTACAACAAAGGGAAGATGAACGCTATTCATCGGGTATTACGTGGGGTATAGTCGATTCTCCATCCAATTCTGTAGAATAATTTTACAATGAAGGTATTTGTTATTCGGAAATAAGTGTAATACGATGCGTGTTCGATAAATCATTTGAGGTAGCGAATGAAAATTTTCATCAAACGAAATAAATGAACGATATGCACCTCTTTCATCCCATTATACATAATTCAGGAGGCTTTTACATTTGCGGATTGAGTAATTATTCATCTCGTCGGACGCAATTCAACGTTGATTTAATTGCGAAAGTTGACTGGCATTGAGTACCCAGTGGTCTAATGCTGAATGTAATGTAAATATATTATCGGTATGCATCATAATCCGGTGGAGGGATGAAAGCCTCTTTTCGCAAGGAAAATAACTCTTCACAATTTTCCGTTCCGTTCGGTTTTGTCTGGAATCTCATAAATATTTATTCAATATTTTTTATTAAGATTTTTCTTTTTTTTTTTTGTCGCTCAGATTTGAAGCGTCACTTGACAATTATTTTTGTAGGCCGTTGAACCTCTGAGCCACTTTGCAAATCATTGATTCGCGGTTTAAAATCGTGAGCCGAGTTTTTTTGCTCCGGTACTAATTAAGAGGTATATTCGCGAATGCGCGCGCGCTAACGTACTTGTATCTCAACTTGATGCTTATGGGATCGTCTATCGGATGAAATATTATGAGGAGGTCTTTCGTCACCGAAGGGGAAGAATTATTTGAGTTGGGCGGGTTTTTGAAAAATTCAAGCACCAGAAAAACTGTTCTTTTTTTAATGACGCGAGAAGTTATTCCCTTCCTCGTTGAGGGATGTTTTTTTGAAGTTTCCAGTGTACTTGTCAATTTTTAGTTTCACTGAAATTTCGAGGAATTTCGTATTTGAAAATTCAAAGTTCTATGGAAAAATCAGTGGAAACTCTGAATTTCCGTTCAATTATTCTATCAAAATTAACAGAAATCAGGAAAATTCTAGTAATTCCATTCTTGCGTTGTTAATTGATTAAAACATTCATATTAATTAGAAATCGTAAAAATTCAGTTTACTCCCGAAATTTAATTCTCAATGAATCTAATGATTGAAACTTCTCAAATTAATTTTCATTATTTAAAGGAAATGGATTTTCCTGTTGTCTTGAATAATTCAATTTCAAAATGATTTCACGAGTTATCACATCTCCAAAGCGTCCACGGGTTTGCCCTTAACGCTGAGGTGGATATCAACTGTTGTGGCACATACCCCATACCCCATTCATCTCATCCTAATTAACGTCTGGCAATTACGCCTCTTGACACGGACACTAGTAAGATGAGAGGAGGTGCAGAACACTGAATATTGCAAGCTTTGATAACACACGTGAATAAGGTGGCGTGACACTATTGCGGTTTATGAATAGTCTGTTCCAACATTTGCTGGGAAAAACATCGGCACTAGAAAAATATTCGTTGATACATGTTTAATGGTGAAATTGTAGGATATCTCGCGTGGCCCAGGAGGCATCACAATCTTTTCT